TTTGTAGAGAACGAGGGGAGGTGGAGACCAGACAGCTCACCAGACGGGACCGCCGGACACAGAAGCACAGTGGAAGACCGTGCAAGCACTGGGCCCCCAGACGGGTCAGCCAGTGAGACAGGAACAGGTGCAGGGAGGGGAGTGACTGTGGTACTATCGCGAAAGAAACAGCGGGAAGCACCAGAGTCAAGTGTAAAGGTGTGCAAGGCCTGTGCAGGCGCAGTACCAGGGGGAACAGACTCACAAGCACCTAGTGCTGCAGGGGCTATACCAGGGGCAGTACCAGGATCCGGCGGCACACACAAGTAGCAGTCACCCTCAGCACTAACAGACAATGCATACATAGCAGCAAGAATTGCCTCATAGTCAAGATCAAAGATAGGTACGTCATGCCTAAGCAAGTCTGCCCACTTGGGGAACTCAGGAGCATCAGGAAACTTGGCGCGCCAGGCGTCGCTAAGTCGAGCAAAGCAGCGCTGCTCAGTGTGGAAACCTGTGCACTGGCGACCAGTGCGGGGACCTGTGCGGATAATATAGGGGCAGCGACCAGGACCCCCAGAAACCCCACGCCCGGCATACCAGTCAAGAAGCTGCTGGGAAGTGGGGGTCTGGCGCTGACGCTGCTGCTGCTGCGGCTGCTGCGGCTGCTGCTGGCCCTGACCACCACTACCACCACCACCCCCTTCTCCCCCACCGCCGCTGCTGCCCCCTCCACCGCTCCCAGTGCCTCCGCCGCCCCCACCACCACCTCCACCGCCTCCACTCCCACGACCACCCCCACCACCTCCACCTCCCCCTCCGCCTGCACCACCGCCACCTCCACCGCCACCCCCACCGCCCCTGCCACCCCTGCCGCCCCTGCCGCTGCGACGCTTCCCACTAGGAGCGGAAGTAGCTCCGACCTCCTCAGCACCAAGGTAGTCGTGAGCAGCAGCTGCGGAGGCGTAGGAGGGGGTGAGAGGGGAGGGGGAGCACCCCTCAAAGAGGGGAGAGCGAGGAGTGCCACGAGCAGCACCTACAGCGAGGATGTTCTTCTCTGCTGCGAGGAGGTGCGTCTCGAAGTCGTCGACAGTGAGAGTGGTGGGGTCTAGCGCTAGGAAGTGGTCCGTGACAGAGCTAAGAGTGTCAGGGAGGCGGGTGACGAGGAAATAGAGAGTGAAGTACATCGGGGGGGGGGTTTGCGGCGCAGAAATCGGCTGAAAGGGCGGCACGAAAGTGAGAGTCAGTAGCGCGCAGGTGAGAAACGAGGTCCTCAGCAGTGGTGAACGAGGAAAGATCGGGGAACAGGTACGGTAGCATGAGTCGACCTATGGTTGCAGTGGCCGGGGAGGAGTAGTGCGCAACTACAGCGTCGTACAGTGTCTTAGCAGTTCTGTGCTGGCTGAAATGCGCGCGCTCAGTAATCAGCAGGTGGTTCCTAATAGCGAGGCGTGCAGCAGCATCGCGAGTCTGCCACTGGGAGCGTTCGAGAGCAGGAGCATCAGCAGCAGGAGCAACGGCAGTGCCAGAGACATAATCGAACAGGGAAACGCCCTCTTTGGCATCAGTCAGAAGGAACAGCTGGAGATCGTCTAACCACACAGCGAACTCTATGGGGCGACCATCAGGCTCGAACGCTAGAACGTTAGGCGTCGTCATAATGGCGCCAGGCAGAGGTAGGAGGTAGCAGGCAGCAGACAGGAGGCAGGAAGCAGAGGCAGCAGGCAGCAGGCAGCAGATCACAAGCAAAGGCAGAGGCAGCAGGCAGCAGGCAGGAGGCAGGGGGGGCAGAGGCAGCAGGCAGAGGCAGCAGGCAGCAGGCAGGAGCGGCTTGAGGGCTGCGTGTGGCGGCTTGCTGCGCTAAGCTACGGGTTGCGCGCGTGGCTGCGGGCAGCGCGCGCGGCTGCGGGCTGCATGCGGCGACGGGCTGCGCGGGCTGCGGGCCGCGTGCGGCTCCTGGCTGCGCGTGGCGACGGGCTGCGTGCGGCTCCTGGCTGCGCGTGGCGACGGGCTGCGCGTGGCGACGGGCTGCGCGCGACTTCGTGGCTGCGCGTGGCGACGGGCCGCGCGCGACTGCGGGCTGCGTGCGGCGGCGGGCTGCGCGGGCGTGGCCTAAATGGGCTGCGCACGGGTGGCGAAAGTGGCGTGCGGGCGGGGCCTAAACAGGCCGCGCGAGCTGCGTAAGAGGCGCGTGCGGGGAAAAAAAAAAAGGGCCGCGCGCGGGCAGTAGGCAAGGCAGGTGAGGTGGGCCCTAATCCTAGGTCCTAAGGACCTATGCTCTAGATGCCATGTTAGAATCCTTAGGCAAGGGATGATTGCAATGTCGAGAGTTTGGTACAAGAATGAAACCTAAGGGGTTGTACCCCATAGTGAGTACCCCACTAAAGCCTATCTAAACAACAACATGTACACATATGTTTGACACAACAGGGTCATCCCTAGGTTTTGAGCCTGCCTGATGCATCAGATGGCGTGGGTTTTTCTGTCAGATGCATCAGAATTTCCTTCAAAACATTTTTGCTGAATCAGAAATTTTTTTAATTCAATTTCTGATTGATTTTCTTAGAGCCCTCCTCATTTCAGAGTGTTCTGTACCTTGCGAAGGAATTGCAAAGAAGAACGGCGCCTTCTGGTCTCAAACTCAGATGTTTGCCATTGAGAAGCTAATTGCAACTAACTGGGCTACTATGTAACGCTCCAGATAACCGGCCAAACTGTATTTACACATAAAACACCCTTCTACATTAGAACTCGGTATCAGACGGAACCAGAACAGGTTCCTGATTCATCATATGAATTCAAAAAACATTTCTTATCAATCAGAAATTTAAAAAATTCATTTCTGGAAAATCAGTTGAACTGGTAAAAAACTGTCTGAATATCGGACAAACAGACAGAAAAATTCTGCTAGCGACGACCCTGCTGAACTAGCAAGCAGGTGGGTACAAGTAGGAAACCTAAAAGTGTTGTACCCTATATGAACTACCCCACTACAACCTAGATAGACTATAGCATATAAGTTTGACACACCCCCATAGGCAAAGTGGGGGAGAACAAGAGGTCACAAGACCAGTCAAGAAAGGCAAAGCAAGCTCAGGGTGGATCACAAAGTCACCACGCAGTCTGAGCACAAGCAAATGGCCACAAGGCCAGTTCACATGCAGAGTTATATACCGTCATCGCCCGGATATAAGACATATATGTCTTATCTCATACACTAAAAAAAATGCTTGGGTTATCTTGTATTTGGGGAGGTTTTGGGTGTCTTATAAGTCTTATAAATGGAAACTTTTTTAAACTACTTAGAAATATTTTCACGCATCTTGAAAAGAGTTTCTCATTAAGAGTGTGGATGGTTCAAAGGTGCCACTTCGGCAACCATTGTTCGGGACGCCACGTCATCCCGAATACTTGCAGAGGCAAATTTGGTAGTACGTGAGTCAGCACGTGGCAGAATTCGCGTGTCGCAAGGGTAAAGATGTACGCGGCATTTCAATTTTCACTATAATACATGCAGTTTCGATTATAAGACACATATGTCTTATCTCGTACACACAAATAGGTGTCTTATAAAAAGGCTAGCCTGTTTATAAGAGACACCCGTATAATAGACAACCCCTGTCTACTATTCAACACTGTCTTATATCCGGGCGATGACGGTAAAGGAGAACAAACAATACAGTGAACACAACCTAGCAAGTGTAAGCATGCAGGTATACGTATAGAGAGTACAGTACAAGCAGAGTCAAGAAGTAAGCAAGTGAGACACAATAGGTAATCAGATAAACTCATAAACTCATAATTTATTTTTGATCAATCAGATCAGATTATAAGAAATACACGTTTCTGGATAAAAATTAGAGTAAAAGAAGGAATGTTTGAAAACTCAGAAAACCATACCAAAATGTCTGATAGCGAAAACCTTGCTTGATAACACCAGCAGCCATCATTTGAGCTCCAACCGAGGGAGTGATCAGATCCTGATCTATAATATGCTTGATGTCCATCGTAACAACCTTCCGAAACCCCCTTGGCATCGCGATGTTGTAGCTTTTATAAAAAGACTTCTCCGAAAACTTTCTTGGCCTGACGAGCCCCAGCGGGCAGCTCAAATAATTTGGCCGAAACTTCAAAATCTCCGATGTATTTGTCAGCCCCAAATCGTTCAGCTTGTAGTCCCGGAAACCCGCAGCAAAAGGCCGACTCAGCGTAATGTTGATCTCCCGATTAAGCTTTTCCGTAATGGTGAAAATCTCGCAATGTTTCCAGTCCATGCCGTAATCGGTGGTGTTGACGGCAACAATGTCGATGAGGTTATCGGTTCCCAGTCCGCTGCATGCTCCCGTGACGTCAGCACCGGGCTGACCTGGCGGATTACATGGCACGCCGCCATTGGCCGATGTTTCCTTGCAGACGTCCTTCATCCAAGGCCATAGCTGGATGTGACAATCACAAGGGGGTAAAAGATATAGAGGAGATGGGAGAGATATGGAAGAGAGGGATGGGAGAGAGGGGAGGAGGGAAAGGAGGGAAGTTAAGGGAAGTAGCTCATTAGCTTTCATTCCACACATGATCTAGAGGGAAAAACAGGGGTAGAGGAGCAGTGACCAAGTGTGACTTTACACTTGCTTGCAGTGATCACCCCTTGTGACCCTACCTGTCTTGTGGTGCTTCCCTTCGCATTCCCTCCCAGTAGCTGCTGCAAGCATTTGCCTAAACCATTGCTGCACTCTCACTCACTGCTGTGCCTCTGCTGCTCTACCCTCACACACCTGGTTGATGCGGTCGCTGTGTGTGGGGCACAAGGCTCAACGCCACCACAGGCGCAGCAGATGCACAGTCATTGGCGCACACATTCACAGGGATGCCTCCCAGTATCATTTACAGCTCTCACCACATACACACGCACGCATGTACCCAGTTGATGCAGTCGCTGCTCTAGTATTTCACTTGCATTGCCTCCCAGTCCTTTCTATGATTCTGAGACCTCGCGCATGTTGCATGTTACGCTATGGCATGCGCTAACCACCAGCTTTGCTCCCACTCACGCGGTTGATGCGGGCGCTGTTGTAGTATTTCACGCGCATGGCCTCCCAGTAGTTGCCGGGGTCTTTGAGGCAGTTGTTGACGGTCACTGTGAAGCACGACGTCCATCCCAGCGATCCCTGCGTGCCCTTCATCGCCACGCTCTCTATCACGTTCCTGCAGTTAACACCAGGGAGGAGGAGTGAAAGGCAGTACAGTGCAGTACGGCAACGGGAGGGACAACGAGAGTTGCTGGGCAAAGGGGGCTGCTGAGGCAAGGTAGGGGACAAAAAGAAGGGGGGGAGGGGAGGGAGAGGGGGGGGGGTGGTGTGAAAGGGCGCAATTGAGGATGTAATTGCTGTGACTGAGCATGGGATCTTCACGGTCTCTCACCTCTTGCCATTATTCACTTTCATGCCGTCATACGTATTCACGCACGCGCCTCCCCTGACAAGCACGCCCGACGTGCAATGGTCCAGATAGTAGCAGTGGTCGCCGTTGAACACGTAGTTGCACAGCGCCGAGTTGCCCGGGCTGAACCAGTGCGTGTAGAAGTAGATGCCAGCCGAGTCATGATCGCCGTTGAGGTTCCGCCCGGAGGAAACGACAAGGTTGGAGTTGATGCGCGCGAGCATGCAGGCAAAGCTGTAATGCACGTCGGCGCCACACTTGATCCCAGCGAAGATGTAGTCGTGCACGTAGTTGTTCGTGACCGTTACTCCAACTGCTCCCTTGTGCAAGAGGATTGGAGTGTTCACCCCTGCGGTCAAGGTAAAGACGGGGGAAAGAGTGTGAAATAAAGAGGAGAGTTCAACCTGTGCGTCAGTGGTAAATCCGTGCCGAGATATGATCCCCGTTCAGGTGTCTCCCACAAAAGAAAACAAGGCTGCAGTCGCCGCTGTAATGCACGTCGGCACCGCACCACATCCCAGCGAAAATGTAGTCATGGATGTATGTAGTTGTTGGTCTCGGTGATACCCACCGCTTTCCTGTGCACGATAGTCGGAGTGTTCACCCATGCAGGCAACGGAAAGAGGGCGGAAGAGGGCCAAACGAGAAGAGGGGGCAAATGGGGGGATTGGGTATAAGGAGAGGGGGGAGGAGTGAGGAGAGGAAATGTCGAGATCTATTTGAGTTGACGGAGTGAGCATGCTGTCGCCGCTGTAATGCACGTGGGCACCGCAACGGATTCGTGTAAAGATCTAGTCACGCATGCAGATGCTGGTGACTGAAAGGGAGTAACAATGTCGGGACAGGAGGGCGGGAAGACGGGGGGGCAGTGGGGATGAGGGGGCAAGGGGGAGAGTGAGGATAAGAGGGCAATGGGGAGAGTGGGGATAAGAGGCAAACGGGGCGAGTGGGGATAAGAGGGCAATGGGGAGAGTGGGGATAAGGGGGCAATGGGGAGAGTGGGGATAAGGGGGCAATGGGGAGAGTGGGGATGAGGGGGTAGTGAGTATAAAAAGGCAAATGGGAGAGTGAAGGTAAGATGGCAAAAGGGGGAGTAAGGATAAATAGGGTTGGAGAGGGGAGTGGGGATAATGGGCAAGGAAGGAGCAGCATATGCTGTTGAGAGAGAGCTCACTCCCCCACACCATATACCTCACTGGTTCTTGTTGAACCTCCTCGGCTCAAGGAAATATCCCACCATAAACCTCGTTGACCTTCATTCTCATTGACTCTCGTTGACTCTTGTTGACACTCGTTGACCCTCATTGACCCTCATTGACTCTCATTGACTCTCATTGACTCTCATTGACTCTCATTGACTCTCATTGACTCTCGTTGACTTCGGTTGACTCAGGGAAACCCACTCACCGTACACCTCATTGTTGGAAATCACAATGTTGGATTTGAGCAGTCCTGGGCCATACCCACTGAGGGCCACTCGGATCACTCCAGGCGACCTGTTGAAGGACGCCACTCCGGTGACCGTGAGTGAGTCCAGGCGCACGCTCATGCTCCGAAGCACATCCACTCGGCCAAATATGTTGCCCTGCAAGGGAGAGAGGTAGATGGCGTAGGAAGGAGCGTGGAGGCACGAGCGAGCTTGAAGGCGTGTGGGAGAGAAACTACTCCGTGAGTGAGTCCAGCAGCATTCCCATGCTCCGTGGCGCACGTCCTATCCGCCAACGTGGAATAATGAAAACATGTGGGATGGGACGAATTGATGCTGGTCCATCAGATCGCCTCATCACCACGTGCACTGGAATGGAAGAATCCAGACTGAACAACTATCATGAGATGGTGCCCCGTGGAGGAGACAAGTTGTCACGCAAGATGGGAGAGGGTGGAGAATGGACGAACGTGTGAAAGACGTCTCATTAGAGTGAGAGCAAGGAAAACAGCTTCTACGTTACGATTTCCTCAAAATTTGACAAAACAAACAAACACGTTTGACAAATGGACACAGATAAAACTATAGGGTGGCGGTGCGGCACAGAGAGGACACGGACGGACGGCATGCGAAAGGAGCGCAAGAAGCAGATAGAATGGAGGGACTCACCTTGCCGATCTGCACGCCGTAGGACCGATGGATGGAGATGGCGGGGCAGGTGACGGCCTTGCCCAGCTCGGGCACAGTGGTGCACTCGGGGCTGCTCTCCGTCACCGCCAGGTGGTAGTTCACGTTCAGCGACACCACGTTGCTCGTGTTCCACACGCGCAGCACCGGATACATAGGGTTACCACCCGTCAGTGTGTACCCGGGCCATTTCGCCGACATGAGTTCCACGATGTCCGTTTGCAGATGGAGCAGGAGAGGGAGAATGCAAAAACTGCTCGGGAGGCTTGTGCTAGTAAGGAAGATGATTTGAAGGAGGCTTTGGCCATGGCAACGACTCTCACAGTGCATGTCGTTGACAAGCAGGTTCGCCATGTCAACGTTGAGGTGAGACATTGACGAAGCGCTGTGATTTCAAATTCAGCCATACAAAACACTAACCCTAATACCCCAATGCCATGTTGCAGAGGCTAGTCAAAGACTCGGTCAATGATATGCTCTTTGATGAAGAGCACATGAACCTCAATCCGACGCGCTCATATGTGACAGAGCGCCTTCTAGGTAATTCTTTGTTCATTTTCAGGTGGGTTGTTTGAGTTGAATTTGATCTTGCCTAACTCTCATGTTTGGTTGCATGCACAACAAACTCCGGCATTCCTTTTGGTACAACGGCATCTGGAAAGCTGAAAGCCATGCTCAAAGACCTTAAAATTCCACAGACGACCGAGCGCCGTTTCAACAACAGGATCGGGAAGATCTACTCGGCATGTCGGTACTCCTTGCAAAGGACACCTTTACGGCTGCTGGTCCCCAAAAGGGGGAATGATGGAAAGGTGTCGTTTCAGCCCGGAAAGGATTTTGCGGTTCGTTGCGAGAATTACATTGCCAACAACTCGGACAGTAAGTGATGCCTTGGTCCACTAACATAGAATTGAACGTGTATGTTGTTTCTATACCATGACATTCCCCCATTGTTTTTTAAGTATCATTCCACCTTTTGTAAGCAATCAATCATGCTGAGATTGGTGACACGAAAGTTTCATATTCACTCTTATGGACTGTCAAATGCAGAGGAACTTGGGACTTATTGGCATGTTGCTGATGGCGAAGCGTTCTCAAGCCCGGCGTTCCTGGAGTGTGCTCGACTGTTCATCCCCCAGAGCTACGACCCGCTGCTGCCCATTGGCGTCTATCCAGTCCAGCTTATGCTCATCCTTGCGGTGGTAAGCATTAAATAGATGTACTCCATCAGTCTCTCCCCTCCTTGCCTTGTATGTGCTGCTGGTTATTCATATTCTTTCTCTCTCCTTGCCTTGAATTGCCTGCAGGCTCTGATTTCACTCTCCCTGCTTTGCCTCATCTCTCCCTCTCCTTGCTTATAAATGCCTGCAGGTTATGATTTCACTCTCCCTGCTTTGCATTCCAGCCAGCCTCATCTCTCCCTCTCCTTGCCTTGAATAGCTTGCATGTTCTGATTTCACTCTCCCTGCTTTGCATTCCGTGCAGCCTCATCTCTCCCTCTCCTTGCCTTGAATAGGTTGCAGGTTCTGATTTCACTCTCCCTGCTTTGCATTCCCTGCAGCCTCATCTCTCCCTCTCCTTGCCTTGAATAGCCTGCAGGTTCTGATTTCACTCTCCCTGCTTTGCATTCCCTGCAGCCTCATCTCTCCCTCTCCTTGCCTTGAATAGGTTGCAGGTTCTGATTTCACTCTCCCTGCTTTCATTCCCTGCAGCCTCATCTCTCCCTCTCCTTGCCTTGAATAGCCTGCAGGTTCTGATTTCACTCTCCCTGCTTTGCATTCCCTGCAGCCTCATCTCTCCCTCTCCTTGCTTAGAAATGCTTGCAGGTTCTGATTTCACTCTCCCTGCTTTGCATTCCCTGCAGCCTCACCTCTCCCTCTCCTTGCCTTGAATTGCCCGCAGTCTCCCTGCTTTGCATTCCGTGCAGCCTCATCTCTCCCTCTTCTTGCCTTGAATAGCTTGCAGGTTCTGATTTCAATCTCCCTGCTTTGCATTCCCTGCAAGCTTATCTCTCACCTCTTTGGTGACACGATTTCTGTTTTATGCTTGTTTTCTGGTGTGGTGCAGGTGAGTTACAGGCTGCGCAATCCGACCTCAGCAAGGACGCAGCTGGGTCGTTCAGGTGACTCTTCGGCGATGACACGCTAGGCTCGTGTCATTCAACGCTGGATAGACCGTGGCCCGGTTCATGTGGAGGGCAAGTACCTTGGCATAGGGAGGATCTGCCTGGTTGGGTGGGAGGACGTGCCAGAGTCTCAGCTTGCTGCCGATCTCCTGGGTGACGAAGATGCATCAGAGGAGTTGGAGTTCAATGAAGAGCTTGATTATGAGAATGTTTGAGCTTGCACTTGAAATTTTGTGTTGTTCTTGATTCTGTTTTACTTATATCTAGTCTGTAGTCGCGTTGTGTGGTTTTAGAAATGCAATAAGAATGTATTGCTTATTATGCAGGTTTTTATTAGCATAATATAATACCGCTTTTGGTCTTTTAGGAAACAAAAAAAAAATAATACTGGTTTCAACGTCTACAGTGTATCATTGCGCTGTGTGGTTACTGCATTACCCGTTTCTTAATTACATACTCTTAGCGTAGCTGCGCATTAGCTGCATTAAAGTGGTGACATAGTCGTAACCATTTTACTTGTACACAATATCGAGGACCTGAAGTGAGCAGTTACTGTTCAAGCCTTTCGAGAGAGATTGGAAAGTTGCGCTGCACGAGATCCATTCCTGTAAGGAATTTTCCCGAATTCCTTATCGGGGTTGACTGATTCGCGTACAGCCCCGATTTTCGGACTCTGCACGTTTGGCCGACATCAACGATGCCGAGCCTCCTCACGTCGCATTGGGCTTTTCTCTTCGCCAAACCTGCACCCAACCTCACTCACCCGAAGTTCCCTCCTAGCTAGCCTACTCACTATATTAGCGTGTGCCTTCATTTTATAATCAGTCTGTTCAATCACCTTCTCGTTATTCGTTAACCTGCGCACTCTCTCTTACAACTCATAACACCTGGTATCAAAGCTACTTTCCTAGTTCACCCCACTTTTCGAGGGTAGTTTGGTGGCACGGGTTGGCTGGTATAAGTGGACTACACGACGGTTGGCCGCAAGGATTGTTAATTCAAACCTGCCCGACTCCGATAGTTCGTGTTTTCCACTTTGCCTGAAGGCCACGGAGACCCGCTTGCCCACCCGACGCAGTGCTCGACACATGGATCAAGAGGCAGTTAACAGACTTATGGCGCAAGTGGCAGAAATGCAAGAGGGTATGAAGACATTAATGGCGGAAGTGACAACACTACGTGGAGAAAACGCCGAGCTACGCCACGCGCGAGGTGAAGCGCACCAGGAGTCGCCCGATGACGAAGGCGAGGGCAACAGTCAAGCGGTGAGCAACCCGTTGGACGCACTCACACGTGACTTCGAAGAAGAGGGCAGGCAGCGAGCGGCATCAGCACTAGTGGCAGTAACGACGATCAAGATTAAACCCGTCAACCCGCCCCCGTTTAATCCTGCGGACAAGACGACTACAGTGAAAGGGTGGTTGTTCGGAGTTGAAGTCTTTTTCACTGCAGCAGGTGTGACCGATGATGCCATGCGTATTAATTATGCCGTTTCCCTTCTCCGAGGCGCAGCGCTTGAGTGGTGGCGCCGAACCCTAGAAACGGGGACCCCGACAGGTGTGACACATGCGGCAGACGGGACCTCAACAATGACTAATCAAGTGGCAGAGTCGATCTTCGGAGTGACCAAGATACGCACATGGAGAGAGTGGGGCGCAGCCTTACGAGATCGCTTCGAGCATGTATTTGCCTCGGAGCAAGCTCGCATGAAGCTGCGTGCCTGGTCGCAGATGGCATCTGTCCAAGACTACACGGCGTCATTTATGGACCTCGCGGACCAAGTGGATGACATGTCGGAAGCAGAGCGGTTGGATAAATACATCGGCGGCCTCAAATATGAGATTCAATACGAGGTCCGCAGGAGCCGCCCGACAACATTCCTGGAAGCAGTACGGCTGGCGGAGTCAACTGTGTCAAACTTATATCTGCTATGGTCTATTTAGGCTGTAGTGGGGTAGCTCTTAGAGGGTACAACACTTATGTGTTTCCTACTTGTACCCATCTCATTTTCTAGTTTATTCATTCTTTCGTCAATCCTTCTCACATGGTATAGAGCTAGTTTCGAGAATTTTAAAAAAGGGCCCACCACTGAAATTCTTCACTGCCTGCTCGACGCGCGCGTCGCGCCTTCCCTTCGAGGCCCGTCGCGGCCCCTGCGCCTGCCCTTAGAGCCAGCGCCCGCCCCGTAAGGCCCCGTAAGGCCCCCCCTTTTTCGGCCCCGTAAGGCCCCGTAAGGCCCCGTTAGGCCCCGTAAGGCCCCGTTTACGGCCCCGTTTAATGCCCCGTAAGGCCCCGTAAGGCCTCGTAAGGCCCCGTAAGGCATCGTAAGGCCCCATTTACGGCCCCGTTTAAGGCCCCGTAAGGCCCCGTAAGGCCCCGTAAGGCCCCATTTACGGCCCCGTTTAAGGCCCCGTAAGGCCCCGTAAGGCCCCGTCAGGCCCCGTAAGGCCCCGTTTACGGCCCCGTTTAAGGCCCCGTAAGGCCCCGTAAGGCCCCGTAAGGCCCTGTCAGGCCCCGTTTAAGGCCCCGTAAGGCCCCGTAAGGCCCCGTCAGGCCCCGTTAAGGCCCCGTTAGGCCCCGTACGGCCCCGTAAGGCCCCGTCAGGCCCCGTCCGGCCCCGTTTGAGGCCCCGTCAGGCCCCGTAAGGCCCTGTCAGGTCCCGTTAGAGGCCCCGTACGGCCCCGTCAGGCCCAGTTCTCGGCCCCGTCAGGCCCCGTCAAGCCCAGTCCGGCCCTGCCCCGGCCCTACCCCAACCTGTCGCGGCCCTGCGCCGGCCCTGCTGCAGCCCTGTCGCAGCTCTGCCCCTGCCCTGCTCCTGCACTGCCGCGGCCCGGCCCCGGCCCTGCCCCGGACCTGTCGCGGCCTCGCCCCGGCCCTGTCCCGGCCCTGCTCCGACCCTGCCCCGGCCCTGCCCAGGCCCTGCCCCGGCCCTGCCCCGGCCCTGCCCCCTGCCCCGGCCCTGCCCCGGCCCTGCCCCGGCACTGCCCCGGCCCTGCCCCGGCTCTGCCCCGGCCCTGCCCCGACCCTGCCCCGGCCCTGCCCCGGCTCTGCCCCGGCCCTGCCCCGGCCCTGCCCC